TGGCCTCGGGGAGCAGCCCTGTGGGAGGCAGGGACATGAGCGCAGCCGTGGTGTAGCCCGCCCCTGTCCACACCCCACCCCGCCCTGCCACGTACCCTGTGCCATCTCCCGCTTCAGCAGTCCCAGCGAGATGCCCACGGGAATGCTGGGGCTGGTGGGCAGTGTCACTGTCTCGCCATTGGCTGGCATGTAGCAGCTGACTCCTGTACCCGGAGAGGGAGTCAGTCTGGGTGGGCAGTGCGGCCCAGGGCACCCTGCCCAGCCCCCGCGCCCGCTGCTGCCTACGGAACTCCTGCTCGATCTTCTGCCGAAGGAACTCCATCTTCTTGGCTTCCCCGTGCACCAGCAGCACGCTGTGTGGCTCAGCCTGGCCCACCAGCTGCATGATGCCCTTGGCATCGGCATGGGCGCTGAATGACATGTACTCCACCTGCATCTTGACCTCGAGCTGCGGTACAGTGCAGGTGATCAGCCCGGGCACGTGCCACGGCCCACTGCCCACTGGGGAGGGTGTAACTCACCACCTGCCGCCCCTCCATCTCCAGCTTGCGCTGTCCACTGAGGATCTTATGGCCCACAGTCCCCTGCACGCAGTAGCCAGGCATGATGACCTGCAGGCGGGCATGGAGCTCATGTCATCCAGCTGCACCTAGGATGCCCCCACCTGAACCCCGTGGTGGCTCCCCTGGGGACTCTGTCCAGGGCTGAGCCAGGCTGTCCTGCCCGGCACAGGCGGTGTGGGGTGTCTAAGCCCCACGTTGACCATCAGGCCCTGCCCACCCCGGCAGCAGTCTCTCGAGGCCAGCGTGGGCCAGAACAGCAGGCATCTTGGGATGAGGTGGGTGGAAGAACAGTCCCTCTGGCCTCAGCTCCCCACCTGGCCCAGCCTCTCACCATGTTCTTCTCGTTTCCCGCCCACTTGCGGAAGATCTGGAGAGATTGGCCAGCGTGCAGCATGCCTGGCGTGGCAAACACGACCTGTGGATGGACCTGGGACTGAGCCCGGGCACAGGCAGCCCTGCCATGGCAGCCCCGACCACCAGCCTCCCACTCAGACTGTGGGCAGGAGCCCACAACTCGGAAGGCCCCGCGCTGTCCCACCCTGCCACAGGGCCTCACCATTGGACCCGGGTTGTCGGCAAATGCCCGGTCGAAGGCCTTGATGTGCTTGAACTCAAACATGTTCCTCTGGACAAAAGTCTTGCGGATTTTCTGGTTGGTCCAGGGAATGAAGAGCTTGTAGTAGTGGTTGGCCTTCTCTGTCAGGCCCGTGGAGAAGTAGATGGGCACCTTCAAGTTCATGCGCTCCCTGGGGACCACAGCCTGGTCAGGTCAGCCATGTCATCCCTGCACACCCTTGTCTGCACAGCAACCTGGTGCGGCCGGGCTAAGTCCAGCCTTCTACCCACATAACCCAGGAGACCAGTGCTCTGAGCCTAAAACTCCTATGAAACGCTGCGTGGACAGAGTGCTCCATGTGGGATCAGTGGCCCCAACCACAGCCAGCAGACCATGGTGTTCACATGACATCACAGCTCCAGGCACGGGGGTCACATGCCATGCAGTGGCTCCCCCGAGACAGCAGTGGACAGGGCTGAGATGCCAGTGGCACCCAGAGTACAGGGTGTCCCGCTGAACCCAATGGTCATTAGTGCCACCCAACCACAGCCCAGTGGGGGACGGCCAGCTCTCCCATGTGCAGGCCGTGCCCCTCTGTCGCCCACCCGGCTGTGCCTACCAGAAGGTCTCCAGGAGGATGCAGAGTTCTTGTGCACGGCCAAGTGCAAACACAGGGATCAGCACCTGCCAGGCGGGTAAGACTGGCTCAGGCAAGAGCCTGGGCTGCACTGCCCCTGAGCACAGCAGGCCACGTCCACTGAAAGGGCACAACCAGGCACCTGAGCTGGCAGCCCTGATTGGACCCAGCCCGTCCCCTTCTGCCCCCAGTCCTGTCCCAGCCACATTCTAGAGATGGGGGGACCTCATGGAGACACGAAGGGCAAAGCAGCTCCCGGTGAAGGGTTTTCCACAGAGTTCTTCTCAAGGCTGAGTAGACCTTACCCCTCCGTGCCCCAAAACAACACCCCCGACCCACATGCAAAGGGCAGCCCACATCCCGAGTGCCTGCCTGCGCCAGCTACCTTCCCACCACGCTCCACAGTCTCATGAACTTTCTTCAGGAAGTCTCGCTCCCGGCAGCGCTTGGAGTCGCGGATGGTGGTGGCGTATGTGGACTCTGTGATGAGCAGGTTGGGATGGCACTTGTCGATCCAGGCAGCCCTGCAGTGGAGGGTGTGGCCTGTGGCTGACTATCCCTGCAGCAGAGGCTCGGGTGTCACAAGCTAGACCTTGCCCCATCCTCAGTCACCCTTCCAGATCGCTCTGGCAGGCAGGCCCGGATGGTCAAATGTCACAGGCAACACACATGGAAGGAGGAACAGAGGTCCCAACCTGGACCTCGTGCTTTTGTGCAGCTGGGCTCAGAAGGAGGGAACTCTCCCACCATACAGAAGAACCCATGGGGGATACTGGCGTGGACGACTCAGATTCCTGGCACCCACCCCTAAGGGTCACCGAGCTCCAGGAGGACCCACAGGAGGAAACACACATTGACCTGCTTACCCAAGATGTCGGTCTGGGGTCATGTTGTAATCACCCTGGCAGAGAAGGTGGCAATGAGGAGGACTGCCTCCCCACCCCAGACAGCCCCTCCCCAGCCTCAAGTCCTTCCACTGACCGTGTAAACCACGGACTCCGATCCTACTTTAATCTGGAACATGGCTGCCCCCAGCACGTGGCCCGCATAGTAGGCCTTGATCTCTAGTTCATCATCCACCTGTGGAGGAGAGGGCTGGACTCAGACCACGGGCTGCGCAGGGTGGGCACAGAGGAGGAGCAGGCAGGCAGTGGGCAGGAGGAGAGGGCACCAACTCAAGTCCTCACCCAGTCGCCCCATGCTCAACCATAAGCAGCCAGATGCAAGAGATGTGAAACATGGGTAAAAACCAGAAAAGCACCAGACTACAGGCTCCAGAGCTCCTGAAAGGTGTCTCCAGATACAGACCTGGCACACATCAACAGAGACAAGAGGCAGGACCAAGCGTGTGGGCAAGACCCAGATACTGTTCTCTAAAGGTGGGAATTTTAAACCAGGAACTAGAATAACCGGGGCATGAACTCAAAACCAGGTGACCCGTAACCAGAAACATCAGTGAACTCAGGTACACAGGAGGGGGTGTCCAGAACGCAGCACAGAAAGACCAAAAGGATGGTGGAGGGTCCAGAGAGGGCAGACATTCAGACACCAGGAGCCTGGAGGAAAAGAGAGCAGGCCAGGGCAGGAGACAGTGGGGAGGAGAGAGGGACGGGCTGAGGAGAAAGGGATGGGTGAGTGAAGGAGAGAGAAGAGAAGGGTGGGGGGAGGAGGGAGGAGGGATGGGGGGAGGAGGGAGGAGGGATGGGGGAATGAATTGAGGAGAGGAGAGTGGGGAGGAGAGGGAGGAGAGACTAGAGGACTGGGGGAGGGAGGAGAAAGCCGGGTACGGTGGTTCATGCCTATGACCCCGGTGCTTTGGGAGGCTGAGGCGAGAGGACTCCCTGAGCCCACAGGTTTGAGGCCAGCCTGGGTCACTTGGCGAGACCTGGTCACTACAAGAAATCACAAAATCAGCAGGGCGCAGTGGCACGTGCCCGTGGCTCCAGCTACTCAGAAGGCTGAGGCGGAAGGATCGCCGGAGCCCTGCACGTCGAGGCTGCGGTGGCTGGGAGCGTGCCACTGCACTCCAGTCTGGGCGACGGAGTGAGACTCTGACTCAAAAAAAAAGAGAGAGAGAGGTGGAAGAGAGAGGAGAGAGGCTGGAGCGGGAGCAACTCTGGCAGGGCCTGGTGGGAGACACTCAGCCACAGACCTGCGAAGCTGGAACACTGAGCAGCCAGAGCAAGACACAGCACGATGGAATCATCAGAAACCAAGGAAAAGAACAGGAGGCCCCAAGCAGCCCTGCAGGGAGATTTTCTTCAGAACAGCAAACTGAGCTACATATTCGAAGTATGGGGACACTGTCAACCTGGAGTTCTCTACCCAAGGAAAGAAAGTCTTTCAAGATGAGGGAAAAACAAATCCATGTGCAGGCAAGTCAAAGCTGAGGAAAGTCACCAGCAGATCCACACTGGTGTTCCACAGGTAGCAGGGAAACTGTCCCAGCAAAAGGTACACAGAGGCCAATGCTAAGGGCAAATGTACACCAAAACTTATCAAGTGCTGGCCTCAGCAAGCAC